AAAAAACATTCACATTTGACTTTGTGCAGTGGGGCCCCCTGGTGGCTGCCCTTCATCTCTCACGCCTCAGGCTGCCTCTGCTCGTTTGTTCTGCCCTTGATATTTTTCCCTTTCATCTTTTGTTTCATGTGATGCTCTAATTTACAACTTCAAAGGGGGTTGACATCACATTTGGAGAGTGTTTCTGCTCCATTATTGCTCTCTGCACATGAATGAATTAGAACACACTGGGCTGGCGTGAGGACACACAGCAGGCGTCTTCACAGTGAGTCCAGTTTAAAACTAAGACTCTCACCTGAACCTGAAGGGGTCGTAAAAGAGACAAAAGACGAAGAACATTATTTAAAATACACTTAAACAATCTTAGGAGTCCAACTGATGTAGTTCTATATTAAGGCGGTGCTAGGGCTGTTAATCCAAAGACGGTTTAATCATGATTAATCACATAATTGTCCACAGCTAATTTAAGATTAATCTCAAATCAATCTACATTTTTATCTGTCCTAAAAGTTCTAAATTAAGGAAGGAAATCATCCAAATACACTATAATAGACATTAACATTATTAAAGACACTACTGTAACGCCTGTAGCACGCTATTAGCACACTAGAATATAGCTTGTCAGCAGTGTTTGCTACAAAATAAAAAACTAAAATGTAGATAACTGACATCTATTCATGGGCTGGATGTGGGGAATCTCTGGGCCCATAATGGCCTTCGAGCCGGGAGTTTGAGACCCCTGATTTAGAGGCGTTTTGGTGGTACGCTAGCACGCTGTGCATTCCCAATGCACATACACAGAGTTTTATATGACAGTATGCACCGCGTCTTAGCTAACCAACCTAACCATGCTAACACAATTAGCCCAGAGATGTTAGAACTGCTGGCTTTAAACACAATGTTTCTCTAATATACAGACTGATTATTCATGTCAAACTATTGTAGCGTGTTGGAATCTGGGTGAGCACTTCCCATAATGCTCTGTGGTTTGTTAGCAGTGTTGCGCCATGAGTGATGGTTTTGTGCTTTGTTTATTTCATCAGAGTTCCTTTGGTTGGAAAAAAAATAAAGCTGTAATGTTTGATGAACACAGACTTGTTGATGAGGCCGTTCACAGATTCACTTGTGAACAGCACAGTCTGACTGCAGAACACCAGACAGAGTAGTAGTATTTAAACGTACATACTCCTCTCTGTGTGGTGTTCTGCAGCCGGACTGGCTCTTTAATACAAATCTTCATTCATGGCCCCGATGTCTGAGGAGCTGATTGATCCAGATTAGACGTACGATAACGTTAAAAACTTCAGCCTGGGTTTGATCGGTGTGAGGGTGTTTCCATCTTTACAGCCGTACTGATGCTGTTAATGGACAATCCGCAGGGTCATGGAGGTGAGAATGCTGCTAGAGGAGAGGTCAGGTGTTTGAGGAGAGGTCAGGTGAGGAAACATCAGACAGAGCGGGGGAAACGGAGTCGGTAATGGCTGGGAGAGAGCGGAGGGGAAACCAGGCCAAAATGCTGGATGTGGGTCGGAACGTACTGTTCAGCAAAAAGGAAAAGGTTGGAGGAGGTGAGGGAGTGGGTCAGCAGACGTGTTCTGTTGGGTGAAACTGAGGACGTGTTTGATGGACGATCGTTTGATTGGTGGTTCAGTTACAGTCAAAACAACATTGTAACTAGATTTTTTATCAATCATCTGAAATAATTGTTCTTTGTCATCCATGTATCCCAGTGGCAGACTAGAGAACTGTCTGAGGTGGAACCCGGCGGTTCTACCAGTGGTGAAGCATGACTGGAATTTAAATCCTGCCTCAGGCTTTTTGTAAACCCCATGACATTTTCCCCTTCAGAGCTTTAAAAAGTGACTGGTTTTTAATTCCTTCACTTAACACTTTCAAGCTTTCAACTCTTTCTGTTGGAGCTGGGACACGACCCAGTGACCATGAGGTGTTCACTGTAATTTATGATGTGTTTGAAAATAGTCCACATGGATTTGTTGTTATAATGTTCCTCCATATAAATCACTACAGACGCTGAACAACACACATATGGCCTTTTATTAATGGACGACCAGGGTTTGTATCAGGTTATAGCGCCCCCACAGGACCTGTTTGTCTGGTGCCTTAAGAAGAAATGTGTTCAGTTTGAATCCATTTTAATTTGTATTTATGGCATTTATGGCATAAGTTCACAGTCGATTCAGATATTCTAATGTGTCAGGCTCTGGTTCTTTAACATCTTTCTGTAGATTTTTCAAAACTTTCAAATTCTGTTTAAACTTGTCGAGGGCTAGGTCATGAATGGGCAAACTATGGCCTGGGGGCTGGATACTTTTTTTTTTTTTTTTTGGACCTGCCAAACTTGTCCAAATTATATCATCAAATAACATAATCATTAGACTTGTTTGAATGTCCAACCCTTTCAGTAAAACTGAGCAGGTCGACGAAAAGGAAAGTGGACAACAAAACGTTTGTCCATCCCTGGTTTAGGTCGTGTACCTAGTGCCACCCAGAGGCCTGGAAAAAAGCTGTAGACCATGTCAGAAACATCAACCACCACTTCAGGGAACTGACTCCACACATCTGTACCAAAAGAGTTTAGTGACAGAACACCACACTTCTGGATAATGGAGAGCCGGACACTGTTATATAACAGTGTTGATGATAACGACCTCCTCAGTGGCTCTGATTTCTCACTGCAAGAATGAATTCCATGTGTGGGATGAAGTCCTTCTGGAAGAGTTCCTGTTGCTTGTTTCTTTCTGCAGTGACTATGAAATGTTAGAGCCACTGCTCCACCGTGCTGTACACATGTATGTATTTCTTACCATGAGCCACTGGTCCTGGAGGAGTGATATCACTGCTGAGTTAGTGAAATCAGCTGCTGGAGCACATGAAGGAAAATCAGGTCAGGAATCATGCACCAGGGACAGTCACACATGTCAGGATTATTTTTACAATACGTATCAGAGTTATTTGCTCGCATCTGATGCATGTTTTTTGGTGACTCCACCCGCAGTCACTGAGACGCCGGTGTGGTAACAATTTTCTGTCTTTAGAGATTGTTTCATTCACACAAACATCTGCAGCGTTAACTGCAGTCCGATCCAACAAGCAACTGACACGCAGCTGTGTGCACCACCGTTCAACAAGACACTTGTCCGTCGTGTTGTTGTTAGTGTTTTGTGTAAGTTTAAGGCTGTAGCGCACCATCAATGTCCTGTAGGGGGCGCTAAGCACACATTTGAAAGTCATGTACTGTGAGAAATATAATTCTATAGACTTTAAAATCACTAATGACTGTCCACTAGATAATAGAAATGAACAGCACTGAAGACACACACAGCTGGTAGCCAATATTTTCATTCGCTAGCGTGCTAAGCTAAGCTAACCCTACTGAGAGCCTCCGCCTCACTTTACCAACAGACCGTAATCTTGTGACAATTACTGCCACCTACTGGGTCCCCTTTAAACCGAGAAATGTTGAATCTGTAAAACTGCATCGTCTTCTCACTTCCTTCGACAATGATCATGAAGAAAAGAAAGAAAAGAAAAAACACTATTTACGAACCGCTGCAGCCTCTGTTAGTCATTACACACACGCTGCTCTGTGACCCTAGTGTTTGGAACATTTTTTTATAATTACATAAACTGACAATAATTTACCAAACATGGCAGCAGTGGATCTGGGGTCTAACTGTCCCCGCAGGAAAGAAATATGTATTTCCCTTTTCAACTCTGGGATCGGGTTATGTGTGTGTGTGTGTTATAAAATCATGCGTTGGGATATTTATGTTTTTTTAAGTAGTTAAAATCTGTTTCTCCTCACAGCAGTAACTGAGGCTCTTGTGTCTGGAGAGTAGACGTTATTGGCCAACTGTGAGTGAGTAAAGAGAGAATTGGACTGTACTCTATTGCTCTGTGTGTTTGCACTGTTTACACAGGACAAGTAAAGCTGAATTGACAGAAACGGTTACGCAAGCTTAGTGAGAGTTCAGAGTGGAGCCGAGTTCAAACAAATTCATCTAGGATATAAAAAAAAAGTTGAGAATAAACAGGGTAAAGAAGAACAATGACTCGGTGTGACTCTAATCTTAAACAGTCCTTCAACAGGGGGTCTACAGAGGAACTGCAGGCCTGACATTGTTCTCATTAATTAGACTTTTTTTTTAAAATTCACATTTTTCAAACTGTGACATAAAAATATTAGCCTGTGTTTTATTTGAATACTTCGGAAATAACAAGGGACCCCAGGTCTAAAATATCTCTTAATGACCACATGTTCAGTATCTAGGAACACCTAGTGGTGAGGTTGTGCTAGAACGATCTCCAGTCACACTAAAATTCTGCATGTTTTTGACTGTGGGAGGAAACTGGAGAACAAAGAGAAAACACACACATACACAGGGGACTTTATACAGAAAGACCAGGGATTGAACCTGTGACCTTCTTGTTGTACCGAAAGATCGCTAACTACTCGCTTAAACATGGAGAACGTTTAAATAACACATGATGAAGACAGAGTGGCACGTGTTTCTCTTCAAACGCTCGCTGACTCCTGCTCTATGTTTATCTGCAAATGTTGTGAAACGAGCTTTTTTAATGAGGAAATGTTTTGCCAGCAGTGAAATTCAACCTCCACCCATGTTTGCTGATTCTTCTGGGTCACAAACTCTACAGGGTTTTTTTTTAACCTTTGAGATTTGTTTGTCAAGCTGAAGTGTCGCACCTCTGAGAAGAAAAGTTTCAAAATCAAAATCAAAGTCAAAACAAACTTGAACATTGTCTTCTCTTAATGTTTTATGTCATTCTTTCCACTTTTTCTACTTTCCACTGGTCAAGACGTCGGACAGCAATGGCTCAGAGGTGTAGATTGTCCTACGTCCAGGAGGTCAATTCCAGCTACATGCCAGTGTGTCCCCGGACCAGACATTGAACCCTCAGCAGATCAGGTAAGTGGGAAAGAACTCGACTCATTAGAACAAAAGAAACACGGCCGCAGGGAGTTTTCAGGTCATTTTATTTGTTCAAACTTTAAAGAATGATTTACACCCAGAAGAAACACTGATTGTTTTTATTCTCCACTGGCACACATGATGAAGATAAACAATTCAATCAAAATTAAACACTGTTCATACTGAGATTCAATGCAATTTTTTTTCCCTTTGCGACCCGATATCTAATAACCTACAGCCTGGTGCTCAACTGGGGGCCCAGTGGTTGAGAACCTCCTTATGTTACCATTTATTTCATCTATTTTTGGAATTGAACTTGTTGTAGTCTCTGGATTTTAAAGGCCAACGCTAACCTTAGAAAGTCCAGTGGGTTCAACGACAGAGCTGTAAATCCAACATTCACGTGTTTGTTAGTGTGAATCTAAGACCTCCATTATAAGGACGAACCATTCAGATACTTTAAAACAGTTCCAGATCCTACACAGTTCCTATTTAGGCATGAACACCGCCCCCTCATGACATCACCAGTGTTCCTTCGTTGCTTCAGTTGTGATTTCGTTATTTAGTCGTTTGTTCTCAGGGGGTCTTATTCCTGTAAATTAGAAAGAGAACCCTGGGCTCTGTCTTTAATTTTCTCTCATGATAATAATTTGATGTTTGAAAAATTGCAATCCTTGTATTCCTTCTTTATTTTCCTCTTATTTTATTGCCTTTTTAAAAAACAAATTTATGACAGAAGAAGCAGCATCTGGTTTTATGTTGCTTCTCTCCATCCTCACAGCTGGCTCTTAAAAGTTAGCTGCACGCTATGAATTCTGGGCGATTCCCTCGGGCATATTTTGTAGAAATGCGGCCTTACTCAAGCAAATCGGCCATAAACTGCTCAAGGTGGCCACTAGGGGCTGCGCACTCACTTGACAGTTGACATGAGATGTTTGATGATAAATCATGTAATGATAAATAATACGATGTTTATTTATATAATGACAAATGGTCACAGGAACAGTGTTAGAACCCTAACTCTGGTCGACACTCAGCCTCACACCTCTGGTCTCCCAGCCGTTCTTTTTCACGTGTTGTTGTCACTGTTGCTGTGATTCAGTTGAACTCTGTCTTTCACTGAGGTGCAGTGCGGTGCACGGGTTCAGCACTGCAGTCTTCAGTCCCATGGTGCAGAGTAAGAACTCACTCTGAGCACCGATCAAACATTCGTGTTTCAAAGTAAGTTTCATTTGTAAAAATAAATACATGTGAAAAATACTCTTTATATATATATACACCACTTCCAGTGTGTTGTGTTGTGTTTCAGAGAAGTTGGAGAACTGGTCAAATTATGATTTGTCTGCTCCACACGAGAGTTTATGGAGGTAGGAAAAAACAGTGAGTGAAGTGAAATGAGAAGAACTCTCAGGCAGAACATTAGCATCCACATGGCAGCCATGATTAAATATGAGGATAAATTAAAAACAGAAACATTCAAGCTTCACTCCTTTATCTAAGTATTTTAAAGGCCGTGCAAAGGACATCGCTTTGACGCTCAGCTCAAGGTTAAAAGTTGGTTGGTCCCTGAGCTCTATACCTATCGCTTTGACACTAAGCTAAAGGTCGACAGCTAAAGTCAGCTTTTTTTCCAATAATAACACTTTGATGTGGAGTAAATATGGAATGAACCATATTACTCAGCTGTTCTAAAGAAGACTGTCCAGTGTGGACTCTCCTCCACCAAAGTCCACACTCTGATCAGACCAGTGGGTTTACAGCTGGTTCAACCTTGGAGCTTTGACCAACCGGTGCAGTTAAACTCGGTGTGTGGTCTGGACCAAACACGTGTTCTGGTTTACTGAAGGAGTCAGTGGATTTGTGTGAGGCCTCAGTTGTACATTCAACTGTCTACCGTCTGGACAAACATGGTCTTCAAGTTCTGTCTGCCAGGAAAGGCCAGAACTGATGAATGACCCGACACAGGCCTGCACAGAGGTCAAAGACGGTTCATAGGCAGCACTGGGGTCAAGACCTATATTCAGAAACAAGTAAGGAGGTACAGATGCAGCCTGGTTTTAAAGCATGAACACTCAGTGATGATTCAGTGACATCAGCCTAAAGAAGAAGAAATACAAAGGGAGCCACACACAGTGACTCGTTCACCAACTGCTCAAACACCTCGAAATAAAAGCCCTTCCAGAAGCAGAACAAAGAGAAACCTTCAGGTCTCTGAGACACTGATCTGACCGTGTTCCTGCAGCAGAGACAGGTCCAGATCATCTACAATGTCCCTTCTGCTTCTTGTTCCTCGCAGGCGTCCTGATTGGCCGACTGGCGGTGCCGTTGTCCAACAGTGCAGAAACAGGTGCTGGCGGGGGAGAGGTGGGAGAGAAGACGTCTGGTTCTCGATCCATGGAGATTTTGAACGGTCCAGCAGAAGAAAACTTCAGGGGACTGAAGGATCAGACAATGAAAATAGATATTTGACAAAAGGGAATTTACGTCCTCTAATTTATTTATTTAAGTGTTTGTTTTATCAAATAGAGCAGATGTCTCCAAGGCATGAGGCGTGGCTCCCCTGAAGGGCTCTAGTTACCTTATGGGTGTGCGGGGGCTGCTATTGTGTCTGCGTATGGGTCGAGTTCTGGGCTCAAAGGAAAATCCCTCCTTTAGACTCTCCAGGACCGATGGAGCCACGTAGGTGAAACCCTGATGACGTACACAGGTCACAGAGAGGAGGTTTTTAATTATTAGAACAGTAGAAGAACCAGGAACTTCTACACATAACACTGATAAGGATTAAAAAGGTTCTCACGGCGAAGGCCAGCTCTGCACTGTGGCCCAGTGTGGTGTCGTCTGGACTGTCCACCGGCGTCTGTCTGGTGAACCTGGTGTCAAACTGACTCACGTCCTCGTCCGACTGCTGCACAGACACGGGGGAAAAGAAACAAGGAAACAGACTTAGGACTGAAAATGAATTGACTGTTGTAGCTAACGTTAGCACTGGTGTCTTCATTTTCCTCTGACAAACATGTGGAATACTGCCAACTATTGGCTGGGTGCAGTAGTGTTAGGTAACTGAGAAAATGATGTCTTTTGCTGTTAAGTCAGATTGCCAACAGGATTTTTATCTCCATTAAAACAATGTGTGTGTTAGTTTCAAGAATATTTGGAGCTCAACTTTGTTTTTTATGGGCCGTACACAACATTCAGTGTGGGTTAAACTGCTCTGGTTCATTGGTCGGACTCTGTTTCTGCTGAGTTAATCTTGAGTTAACTCGGACTTGGTCTTCCTCTGTCATGAGCTTCACATCGTCCTCTGGTTTTAAATCATCCTGTTCTTTTGGATAAACATCTACTGACATCATAGTGTGTGGGGAGTGGGGCGTTAACTCACATCTGATTGGTTAGATAGAGTTCATGTGACCAACATCTGTTTGTTGTTAACTCCACTTCTGCCTGAGTTCAACTTACAAGTATTTAAAAAACAAGTGAACGAAGTAATCAATACGTAACCGCTGCATATAAACAACACAACCTCCAGTCAAACCACAGATGTTTGACCAACAGTTATCTGGTTAACCCACTCACTCCTACCAGGAAATACCACATACATTAAGTCTGATTCAAACTCTGGCTTCCATCCACTTACTGTGTACTTCTGTCAGAGATCACAAGAGGGTGAGGGTTTCTGTGTTCTATAGAAAGAGTTTGTCCATGTTGATTTCCTCCTGTCTATTATTGATTATCAATGACTTTAAACGTTTCCCTTATCAATCAGTGTCTGTGCTCTTGTTACTGTGGCTTTTATCTCGAATTTTGGATAACATAACTAATCAATTTGATAAGAGAATTGGTTAAAGCGGTAGGTGTATTACCAGCTGTGGCCTGTAGGGAGGTTCCACCCTCTTGTTCAGCAGGTCGTCCCAGTTGATGTGCTTGAAGAAGGGATGTTTCTGCAGAAGAGCAAAGACTTTAATTAAATCCCTGCATTTTACCAGTGTGTGTGTGTGTGTGTGTGTGTGTGTGTGTGTGTGTGTGTGTTACCAAAGCAACAAACCTGAATGTCAGCACAGTCTGCTTTACTGGAGCCAAGTCTCTGTGCTGGATTCTTCTTCAGAAGCTGATCAAAACACAGAATAAATTAAAGGTAAGAGGGGTGTTGTGCAGAAGTTTTAGGCAGCTTCACTCTCTCCTCCGTTTTTCCCAGCCTTTTCTCAAGTATTTAAATTATTAAATGTTGGGGGGAAAAAACAAAAGATAATTTTCAACAACATCAAACAGTTTTCCAGCCATCCTGTGATGGGGGTATTTCTCCCATCTGCCTGCCTGCCCTGCAGAGCAAGGCATTGCTGTGAACAGCCACGTGTCCCAGTCTGTGGGCCACAACCCTTTTTTTTTTTAAAGCCATGCCTTCTGCAGTTTATTGTTTTTGAGCATGATCTTATGTTTTTATTTAATTTGATTTAAATATTTGACAAAGAGAAAAAAGGTAAAAACATTTACACATAACTGTATATTCCATTAATAATGGACCCTGTGTGTGTGTGTGTGTGTCACACCTTTTTGATCAGGTCTCTGGCATCAATGGTCAGGTATGGAGGCAGATTGAGTTTACACTTTAAGATCTTGTCGATGGTTTTCTTCCTGTTTTCAGCAGTGAACGGAGGCTGATGGGAAATCAAAGAGTGTATGTGGTGTGAGCAGGGTTGTCACAAGAACTGACGATATGCTCTCTGACAGGTTGTGTCATGTCGTTGTTATTTGAACTTAAACTTTATTTTTCCTTTACAGTATCAGTATCATACTGACCAGGAGAGTCGGGTTAAGTAGATCATTTCTAAGTTATTATTTTTTAAACTTCCATCTGAAATGACAGTTTTCTCTACCCTCTATTACCCTCCTCTCGTCTCACTCACCGATCCAGTCATCATGTCGTACATCAGGGTCCCCAGGCTCCACCAGTCCACTGCTCTGTTATGTCCCAACCTGGTCAGAATCTCTGGAGCCCTGAAGAAAAGGGGTTACAAAAAGAAAAGCTGTTTTCTTGTTTTTTTGAAAGTTCATTTCTACAGCAGAGAACACAGTTCAAAGACAGAGGGTTGTCATTTTTAATAACAACTTAAATGTCTCACTGTCCGGGGAAGCAGCTGGGTAAAGGCTTGTTCTCACTGACAGAACAAGACAGAGGGTTGTCATTTTTAATAACAACTTAAATGTCTATAAAAATAAATAACAATGACAGTCTGTGACAAATGAGGTCTGTGAACAAGTCTTCATCAGCGTGATCCCCATCGTTACGTGACAGACAGTGGAGCTGCTGATTGGCTGCTGCCTCATTTAAAGAGAGAAAATCAGAGTAGTTCCAGCAGTACTCAGATACCAATATTGTATTTTTCCAACTCCCCTGAAGTACAAATAAGAAATATTTGAAACACCTACAGTAATAACATGTCCCACATCATACTGATAGTAACCTGTTGACCCCAACTGTAACATAACATCATAATTTTTACCCACATGTACTCAATGGTTCCACAGAAAGTATGTGTGACGGAGCCATCGTGGATGGATTCCTTACACAGGCCAAAGTCTGTCAGTTTGATGTGTCCTTTAAAGAGAGAAGGAAGATTGTGAGATAAGTTCCAGGCCCTGTGTGTGAGCACAAATGTTAAAAGTCATTGGATCAGAACCTTCGAAGAGAAATTCATATTCAGTTCACTTTAACTTCACTGTTCCTGCTGCTGACAGAACACAAGTAGCCTGAGACACACCCTCTAGTGTCAGTTCCTGTCATGACATGTTCTATAGACATGCTAGCTCCCTGACCGCTGTAAACCAGCCGAGTCCAGACTACTCTAACAAGCTCTTTCACGTCTGGTCACAGACTTTACTGTCCAACCTGTGAACCCAGAGAAGAGCTGTTCTCCTCCTGAACTCTAAAGGTTCTTACGCTTATCCCTTTTTTTGTTCTAGGTGCTGCTCTTTGTCCCTTTAACCGTCCTCCTGGAACAAATGAAGTTTTCTCATTCTGAACATCTTTGGGGCAACGGTAGGAAACTGGTTCATTTCTGCAGCTGTGCTCAGATGAACTCATGTTACTGGTTTCACAGGTTTTTTTAAACTTAAGCCAACAATAGTTTTTATTCCTAGTTAACAAATCTGATTACACCTCAGGGACAACCAGACCATCATCTGATTCTGGTTCCGATTACAGGGGACTACAAAACATTAAAGGACATCCACATGTTCAGAGATGGAAATGATGCAAATGTATGAAAGTAAAAAAAACAAAATCAAATCCACTTCCTGTTGTTACAATACCTTCGTGATTCAGCATGATGTTTTCAGGTTTGAGATCTCTGTAAATAATCCCGTTAGAGTGAAGGTGACCCAGGGCCAGAGTGATCTCCCCTAGATAAAAGCTACACATAAACAAACAAACACACACACACACACAGGTCTGTGAGAGCATGCAAATACACACTGCAGTTATACACCTGTAGCCTATGAATGGTTTACATGAAGAACAGACAGGACAATGTTCTCACCAAGCAGTGTCCTCCATGAAGATGCCTTCTTTCTCCAGCTGCATAAACAGCTCCCCCCCTGGTGATTAACAAACGTTCACATGGCTTTAATTATTTATTACATTTTCTTTCGTCATGCACATACTCTACAGCAGCAGTCCCCAACCTTTTTGCACCACGGAAGGGTTAAATGTCTGGATTTTTTTCACTGCCTTTAAGGTGTGGAGGATGAATGCAACTAAATAAAATGATACAACCAGCATAAAAAACTAAGCAGTTTTGAAGGCTTCATTGCCTCAGAGAGCTGCATTTCTTTCCTTGTCTAACACTTAGCCTTTTGCAGAGCTTTTCCCTAACTTCATGTCTAACACTAAGCATTTTTAAGCACAGTATTTGAAGTAAGCCTTATCTTCTCCTGGTTCGGAGGTCACGCAGCTTCAGCAGTGACATAGTGATGATGCAGGTGCTACATGTCATTACTGCAGTAGTTCTGATGGTGTGTCAAAGGTGTCACATCAACTCAAATTAATGCAATTGTGCGAGATTCAACACCGTGACACCGACTGTTGCGCTCACACTTGTGCACATCTAATCATCCACCGTCCCTGAGGGCCTCTGTCTTACCACTGAGACATTCCAGGATGAGGTAGAGTTTCCCCCCCGTCTGGAAGGCGTAGAGAAGATCCACGATGAACGGGTGTCTCACCGTCTCCAGGATCTCCCGCTCGGCTCGAGTGTGAGCCGTGTCTTTAGCGTTACAAACAATCTTGGCCTAGAAACAAACACCACGAAAGAGGGGAAGCTGTAACATGTGTTCAGAGGGCACGTGTCGGACACAGTTCTGACCAGTCATACCTTTTTCAGAACTTTCATGGCAAAGATCTTTCCAATCTGTGCTCCTTGAACTTTTCTCACCTGGAAAACCTTAAAGAAAAACATTTGCTTGAGAAGAGAATCCTCACCACAGGATGTCAGGGTAATAATGTTGTGGCTCAGCAGTAATACAGTATAATATTACAGTTCAATCAAATGACAAGAAATAATTCTGGTCTATTTGAAGTGGGTTTTTAATAACCACCAAATGAAGAGTCCTTCATCTCAGAAGACAGTTTTTAATGACACCGTCTGTGTTTGTGGTTATTGTCCTGCTGCAGAAAACGTCTGCTCCAATCAGACTCCCTGATGGTGTCACATGATATTTAAGTATCAGCTTGTTTCTCAGCATTGAAGAAACCATCCTGGCCAAATCCACAAGTCTGTATTATGGGTTCTCCTTGTAAGGAACCTTCACTGCGTCACTCATTACTGTTCAACTGTCTTCTGCTGTAGACAGAATTTAGACACAGGGCCTTGTTTTCATGTCAGAGTTTTGGCTGCATATCTTCTACTGTAGTAGCAGTGGAATTCGCTGGATAGTAGAAGGCTTTGTATCTGGTTTTGTGTCGATGTCACTGCTAAAACTTCTTTTTCTGTCTTCAGGAGGTTGAGTTCAGTTGTTCTTTATTATCTTTAGACATGTGATATGATAGAACTATCCTGTGTCTTTTTGTAGTGTAGCTGTTCCTGTTTTAGGTCATGTCTGTGTTTCAACTTTCACAAGACCATGATTGTCATTGGTGTATGTTTGGGCTCATTGGTTAATTATACAGTTTATTCAACATGCATATGTGCACACACCCAAGTTCAATCACACCCAGACACACACATCACTCACTTTGCCATAGGCTCCTTTGCCCAACACTGTGAGAAGCTCAAAACAATCTGGGCCAACCCTCTCACTGTCTCTGTTGACACTCTCACTGGTCAGCTCCACCTCCTCCGTCTGGACACTGAGACAACAGACAGACATTTGAGACACATTGGAGTTAAACCATGTACAGAGTGGGAATGTGATTAGCTCAAAATGCAACAGTTCAGACACTGAACCAACAGACAAATCTGAAAAAGATTAAGATTCGTCTATGGAAATAGTGTTCAGTGGCTCGCGTGTGAGTCTTTTTGTGTAATTGCTGACACAATACAGTGAATGATTTACTTTCTAGAACCAGATTTAGGAGAAAAAAAATCACACAATGTTATTTAGGAGTTAAGGACAATACTTACTTCTCTGGCTCTGTCACAGTGAAGTCACAGACATCTTCCTGTTGACAAGAGCAACAGAGCAGTATTTACACAGACATTCTAACGGAATATGTGTGTTAAACCAGAGAATACTCCTACATCATCAACTTTGTATTTGCGCATTGTCTGTGCTCAGCTCAACCTCTTGTCACAGCAGGTCTCACTAGTGTCTGCTGGAACCTTCACTCCCTGACTCTACCCTTTTCTGTCAGTGCATTGTTTTGAATGGTTGACTGCAGATACTGTCAGAAAAACCAACCTCTGTTTCACTGACGTCTTCTGTCTCCAAGTCTATGTCAAACACTCCTGCCATTCTAGAACATGGAAAGAACATACAGTCACATGATGAAAATTTCAGTTTGTCGCTGGTTTTCTATCTAAATTGTGTACACAAACTGCAGCCACTGTTTTTGTCCAGTGTTGATCAGTGGAGTGCTTCACAGATGGATTAAATACATAAATGGATTTCCTTCATGGCCTCAGTGGGTAAAAAGTATTTTTTAGTAAGAAATAAAAGAATACATGTTACGTAAAAATACATTTCAATATGTGTACACACTATGCACAAAGTCCCTTCAAATGTCATTTAAGTAATCTGTTTTAAATGAGTGTACATGTTGGTAATAGCTGTACAACAACTCCAAATGTCGATGTTAACATAACTAGTCGTCTTTGCTCTGTTTATTACTGTTATATTATGTTATGGTGTGGTGAACGTGCTTTTATACTTTGCTTTTAGACTGTGACTATGACATAGTTGTTTTAAAAAGAAGTGACACTAAGAGTAGACATCTGACTGTTGTTCCTCACTGCTGTCACTGTAAATAAGTCTTCCACCCTTACATCAGATTATCACAACAGTCCAGGCTGACAGCTGCGTTCGTTGACAGATAGTCATTTAGCTTAATGCTAACTTTGACTAGCATTTCACCTGCTTCTCTCCACTACGTGCGGCTGAACTTTACCTTGACTCGGGTTGTCGTTGAATATCTTTACACAAGCGAAGGCTGTTTTTTTTATTCACGGGCAGCTGCGTCTGTCGTTGCGCTATTTACATTTTACCACGTCCAATGTGACAGACCACACGGACCTTTGGTCCACTTTTAACGCTGCAAGCAAACGTCACTGAGCAAAGTTGCGGATCTCTCATTACCGCCGCCGGTTGGGCTGGAGTGGAACCCCAACTAGGGGTGCGAATACAGTATTTTTTTATTTTTTTATTTAATTTCATTGTTTTACGCGTGTCGGCAGATAAACCGTTCTAGTTAGTACAAAGACAAATAAAACCCCAAGAAGTAAAATTGTGGGTGGGGGTTAGAAATGTATGTTAATTCGATATGCCCCCTGCGGATTATAAAACAAACATCCGAGACAAGGAATTATAAAATGCACACAAATGGCTAAACATGAGCGAAGGGAAGCTGTTACTGAATAACTGTAATACATTAAGGCACTAGAAAACTTAAATATATATATATATATAAGGAACAAAATTATAAAAGACAACGACAGTGGTGAGAGAAATCTGATAGAAAGGGTCTAACCTTTAGCGTATTGAAACTATTAAAGTTAAAGATACTGTATTTCCTCAACGACTATGTTTTTTGTATTAGAGAGACTCGAACTGTGGGTGAAAAAAAAGCTATCGCCCGAACAGGGACTTGAACCCTGGACCCTCAGATTAAAAGTCTGATGCTCTACCGACTGAGCTATCCGGGCTCTGTCACGTTGTTAGTGGTTGAAAAATATAATTCTGAGTAAAGTGTAGGATATTAGTCTTAGAATTTTATATACATATATATGTATGACTAGGGATGACAACGTTGTTGGAAAGATAGGAAATGCTTATTTATTAAAATCGAGTTTGTTATTATAAATGTTGAGGGACAATCCAGCTCCGGACTAGTCAATAATTTAATTTAATAAAGTTCTGCTTCTGCCAGCTGCTTAAATGCAGTTCATTTGGTGTTACATGCTGTCCCTTAAGTCCGATAGTCAACTGTTTGTTTGTATTGTTGTTTCTTGAAAATAATATTTCCACATCCTGTTGATTTGACTTTCTGCGCATGGACCCTTGTCGTCACCTCTGAGGCAAAAGTGTTCTCTGGGATTTAAGTCGGGGCTTTGTGCAGGTCAGTCAATAACAATCATATTGTTATGATATTGTGCTGTTCTCTACCTATTTGCACGTTTGCTTTGGTTTTACTGTTGCAGATATGACGTTAAAACCAAAACGTTATTGTCCGTTGACTGACATTTAATAGGTATATCTCACTTTTCACCTCACATTATTTTCACTTTGGGGGTCGTAACACGTTCTCTGCATTGTAGCTTAAACCGATTCAGAAATGTATGGAGAAAAAAAATATTGAGTCAGGCCCCAGCGAGATTTGAACTCGCGACCCCTGGTTTACAAGACCAGTGCTCTAACCCCTGAGCTATGGAGCCTTTGACGAGGACCAAGGTCTAGCCGTTTGTATTTATACCTATATGTGTTATCATATGTCATGTTGGTGGTATATAATAAGCATTGCATGGTGTTTTCTGTTACCACACTTGGTTTGTTTTATATTTAACAAGTGTAGATGACGTGTCTCAAAAAGACTGACGGAACTTAAAAATAAAAAATAACATCTCAAGTGACCAAATTTTGCCACAAGGTGGCAGCACTCTATCATGCATCTACGAAGAGGTCGCTCGTTTATATCCGTTCATCCAGATAGGTTTCACGAGTCCGAAGCCTGTGACTTTGGGGTCTTATTTTAGTTTGGTTAATTTGACGTCTGTGTCTTCAATCATCAAGGGCTTTGTCGATGCATTTTTTTTTTCAAACTAATAGTTCCTAAACAAAGGCACGTCCACGTTGAAAAGCAGGCCGACCATGGTACGAGTGTTTGGGTCCCAAGATTCTATTGGCTGATCATCGGTTTGTGGGCGTGGTAAGAGGTGCAGATTCTGGGGGCTGCTGGCCTTCCTGCATCGGAACTGGATTCCCCCACCAACCAGCCTCACTCTCCAAAAGTGACAATGGATCCCAAAGGATAATACGTGTTGGGGTACTTGTGGATTTTCCTCTTTACCATCAATAATCTCATTTACTGAAATTGCAGATGCATTTTACATTTCATCACTTTTATATAAAAAAGTGGTAAATCCTTTTTCCCCTGTTTGGACAAAAGGGGAGGAAGAACAAATCATGGTGGAACCAAAGGGATAGATCTGAGGCGCTCGTGGATTTAGTCCCAGAGAGGGTGGAGAGAGCAGACTTGGAAATTTGCATCAAAAGGTGGGTAATATAACTGCTTTGAATTCTGGCCAATTACTACAAAGAGCTTGAGTTGTGATGACATCAATATCACCCTAAATGTCTTACTCTGCCTGCAGAGAAAACCCATAAGAGTTTAAAGACTGCAGTAAATAGCCTGGTCAGAATTAAAGCCAAATGCTTTTCAGTGTGTTGTTTATGCATGTATAGTTCAGAAAAACGTGCTTTAGAAAAAGGTGTAAGGAGAATTTCTCAAATCCAGGGATTCGACTTGTGAGCTTCAGGCACCTCCAGATCAGCTGTATTTTAATATTTTATCAACGTAGTGCATCACCATTCAGAATAGAATTTGTCAAAGGGACACGAGGCATGAAGCCAATGGCAATGTCTAGGCTAGGTTTTAAAAAAGCTGCGACAGTGAGTGGAAGATGGCTCCGTTTAGAGCATCCTGAGTAGACTGTGTCCAACAAAAACAAAGATGTGTAAATGCAGCCTAACATCATGTGATGTAATGAGCGGTGGTCATTACATCTAAAAGCAGTGCAGGGCATCTGTGGTTGTCAGCCTAAAACAGCCTGAATAGAGGAAACTCTCTCCACTTTCTATTTGAAGTCTGTAATATTGGTCAGCAACATGTGGCTGGTGGGCCAGAATTGGGTCTGATGATTCTGGGAGTAAATTTATATAACTTCCAACTGTTTTTATTTTTGTACATTGTCACACCCATATGCTACCAATACTGCAGTATTATAGCTATGATGTCAAAAATAGAGAAAATTGATGTCATACTGTCGTGAACAGACACAACTGTGCAGCTGCAATGTGTGCTGTGGTGCTCAACATCTTCAATTAAAGGTTGGTGCACAGTGTCTGGGGCAGTAAGGGCCGACGTGACATGAGAATGACTTTGGAGGTAGAATAATGAGGCAACTGAGGTGGTGCCAAATCAGAACAGCGATGGCATCATGTGAACATACAACATGAGCAGAAAATGATTCCACTACTGGGAGGGAAAATAGAGGAAGTGTGGCAATAAATATTTACAGGTTTTATTTTCATGGAATGTGGTATTTTGTTCCGTTTTTCAACCTAAAACGTCAAACAATACTTATGGTGGCAGTTTGTGTCTGTGTGACGACTTTGGATACCCCTGTGTTAGGGCAGGGTCACGTTAAAAATGCCCAGGTCTGTTCCATGTCCCGTACGTCTCCTCCAGGACACCTTTCTTCTCTTGAGACACCAAATCAATTTTATCTGCCCTTTTCGCGACGCCCCTGCATTACACGTCGCTCCAAATCAGACCAGTTGAACCTGCTCTGCCGTGTGTGGATCTAGGAGTCGTAAGTATTCAGATTGGGCTAGGAGCCTTTCACTTGCCCAACATCTCGGTTGAACTACGCCCCAAACTCCAGGGTGAAAAACAGGGGGAAGCTCGTTAGCTTCTGCTGCTGCTGTTCTCTGCCTCCGAGCTAACGTCGGGCTCCCTGTGTTCACAGAGTACGCTCGCCCTCCCTTGACGACAAAAGAAGACAGAGTGGAACATTTACTGTTTTATCGCATTTTTCCTCCGCACCGTTTGGATTTTAATTTCCGTGTCGGAGCAAAGGAAACAGGCCGCCGTCGGAAAACAACCAACGCCGAAGAAGCTGTCGGCTTGTCCGGGTGGATGAGCAGCAGAAGCGGCCGTATATAGAGTTTCTAAGGCCGTCTTTGTCAGTTTTGAACACCGTTCGCCTGGGACTCTGGTTTTACGGCATTAAAACAAAGCACAGAAAGAGGGCGAGGAGCAAACAGCCGCGATTTCTTCTCCCCGTCGACCATGCGAGGTGATCGGATCATCGCAGAGGAATGTGTCGCTCAGTCCCGGTGTTAGCTGAGCGGAGGCTCCATGTAAGCTGCTCCAGAGTCCTGGCTTTGTTTCCGCGTTAAAACCTGGGAATGTTTCTTTTTTCCAGTTTAACCCACATACTTTAACAAATAAATAACAAATAAATAAAAAAATAACAAATTAACATCCCTCCGTAAAAGGACTAATGTTGTTTACAAACAGCCCTATGTCTGCGGATTGGCAGCCGACAGCCAGATCTTCCTGGTGTTCTCTGGGGCTATACTTGGATGTTAGACAAAAATTAAATGTGTTTATGCTTTTTGTTCCTCTCCAGGGCCAACAGTAACAACATGCTCATGGCCTCGGCCGTGGTGGTGTGGGAATGGTTGAATGAACACGGCCGCTGGCGGCCTTACAGCGCCGCCGTCTCTCATCAGATAGAGGCGGCCATACGGAGCAGCGACCCCCGCGGCGGCAGTGTGGTCCTCGGCCAGGTGGACAGCCGACTTTCGCCCTACATCATAGACCTCCAGTCCATGCACCAGTTCAGACAGGACACAGGTAAAGAGACGAGTTTTTGCTGGCATTATTGTGGGATATAATATGAAAAACAACCAAAACAAAGCCGTCACTGATAGAGAGAGAGAGAGACGAGATTACATTATTTGGGGAGCAGCCAGAGGATCCAGTTGTTTTAATTGTTGATAGTTGGTTTTAGGTTGTTTGTTGGTTGATATTGGTTTATTGTTTGACAGTGGTTGCTTGTCATTTCCCAACTTTAAAGTTTTGGGGGTTTTTTGTTCAAAAAGGATGTGGTGAGACATGTGAAAAACAAGGAAATTTTTTTAAAAAGTCATCAGTGATTTCAAACCTTTCTTTGGCTGCAGCAGGGATACTTATGCACACACAAACACGAGTTGTGAGTACACATACACCCACCCTTATTAATTTCTTTCGTCAGTTCTACTGTTGTTTCACACTGATGCTCATTGTGACGAGGAGAATCATACATCATACACAACTGATGGTGTGTCTTTGTGGTCACATCATCACCTGGTAGCTGTCTCCAACAAACCCACTGAATAAAAAAAATCATGTTGCAGAAACATCCGGGATTGTAGTCCGTATTTTTATACATCGTTTTACTTTTACGTCTGCTCAGTCTGGGGCAGATATATATATATTTTACCTCCATTATTGTTTAATTAAATTGCAATTATAGAATGGAGTCAACAGCTCAAGTGACTGGGACAAACCTGGTCCCAACATGAACTCACTCTTCCCTTACAGTGAGGTGAGACACCTGTGGTGCATGACCTTGGTGGCCCATCTTCAAGGAGGACACAGACAAACAGACTCGAGTCAGTAGCTGGGTTCTGTTGTCTTATTGCTAAAGTGCTACAGTGAAGCAGCTGAAGGCTCATCTGGTGACAGCGTTGGGATGAATTTTTACACCAGGTGTGGGCAGTCTGTGTGGCTTTGGCTCATTCTGGTGTGGACCCTACTGCAAACCCCACTATTAAAAAAAAACAAAAAAACTCTGAACTATCACATTACATCCGGTGTGGAAGTTGTGTTCCTCAAGAGCGTTGGCAGTGATGGGTTTTTGGATGAAGCCTCAGCAGCCTGATGATCCTGGGCAGCTGCGGGGAACCAACTAACGGCATTCTGCAGCTCTTACCCATGATCCTCTCTCCACCCCCTCCTCGCCATGCACGCGCTCATACACATAAGGCATAGCAGCTGCTATTAATGAGCACAGAGTTGCCATTAGTTGACCTCTTTTTGTGACCCCACCCTGCTCATTCATTCACTACTTTTCTTCATTTGGTTCAGGATGAAGATACTCGTAAATCATATCGTCACTAGTTTTAAAGTCACACGGTAAAATACTTATAATTATAATAAATCTAATATAAAGCTAAGTCTTTAACTTAAGCTAATAGAAATATAACCTTATTTAAGACTGTTTTGAATGATCATGATATTTGTTCAGTGTGTTCAAATGTGGTCGTTGCCAATATTAAACAGATTGGTTTTTTTATGTCAACAATACAACACATCCTGTATTTTGATTAGAGAAGTGTGAATACCTACACCTACACCACCAACAATTTCCCCAGTGTGGCCTCAATAAAGTTCAGTCTAATCGAATCTACAATTTCCCTGTGGGATCAGTGAAGTGTTTCTGATCATCCGTCTGTCATAGGCACAAAGCCTACGATGGATGCTCCTTTTTTACGCCGTCTTAAAAGCTACACCACATCAGCTGTTTTTTTTTTTTTTTTTTGTATAAATGGTTTAAATGTCAAACCACACATGTTAGATTGTGTTGCGTTTAGGGTTTTTTTTTATGGCGTGAACCTCACTGTTCTTTTCTCAGACTCATTCACCATTGTTGGCTTCTGTTAGAACAGATGTGAGTTGTTCACACATAAGATTTCAGTCCCCTCCCCAGGAGGAGGAGGAGTGAGGGGGTGGAGGTGTGGAGGGTGGGAGTGCTGGTGGTTTGGTTTTGTCAAGTTCACAAGTGTGGTTTAATGTTTAATGCAATACGATGGAGAGAAAAATGAGCCTGTGGTTGTTTATGTTTATAGACTAAGAAACTTCAGTATTTGTTAAAATGCTTTTATTTCAACAAGTCTGATCTTTCTTCATTCTTATTGGATGTTTTTAAATCTTTTGATTTTTGAGGATAAAAAATATAAAATGGGACACAAATTGAAATTATGAACATGTGTCCTTTTTCATTAAAGGCAAAGGTTCAAAAGATGTCACGACATCCAGACTAACCTCTGAGAGTGATTAAAAATAAGTGATATTTTACATTTTAGCTGATGGGACCAGCCATCTTTAAATAGAAGGATTGTAGTTTGTTTGTTGTGAGTTTTTTGTCTGAGATTTGGTTCAGTTGTGGTTGGTTGGTTGCATCATTATTGTTGGTTGCTGCAGGGCATTGTTTTTTTTGTTGTTTCTTCGTTAGTTATTTTGTTTTCGTTCGTTTAAGAGTTTTCCGTAAACTGAACAACCTAAAAAGTCCAACTTCATAATGTTTACCAAAGCAATGAAAAGCAAAGGATGTTTTTTTTCGTGAATGTTCCAAAACCTGTTATTACATTGAAAACACATTCTCAAATTTTGTGGATTCGGAAGAAATGTTTGACTTTATTCCAAATGATGTCCTTATTGGATCGTACAGCTGAAAACACAAGTGATAAAATAAAACGGAGAATTCTATCCATTTACTTTTTGGCAGATGTTAAACTCTGTCCATGATGATAAACCCATACCATTTGGACTTTAACTCCCTTTCTTTAAGAGCCATTGTCTGAAGGCATCTTTTTCCCTGCCACTGCAGCACGGTTGTCCTCTTCTTCCAGCTGGTCCTGCTGACGGAGCCACATTCCCAGACCCCCACAATGCCCCGGGGCACTAGGGTCACCGTAGAGGGGGGTGGGGTTTAGTTAGGGGGACTCCCTAGGGACCGAGGAAGGGGTGGGATTGTGATACAAGGAAGGGGAGGAAGTTCAAACAATTCAAGTAGGTTACTGGGACAGACCTGGTCACAACATGAACTCACACTGAGGTGAAACACCATTATCTACATGGTGACGCTGACGGTGTAGCTCAGCTACTACGAGCTACTGTCACACGATCAAGACGCAGTCAGTAGCTGGTTCTCGCACACCCCCCCCCCCCCGCCAATTGAAAACAGCCTCAGATTCAGATGTTTGCGTTCCCTACAAACATGGCTGTCCTTGGGGGCACAGACATGGATCTAAGAACTGGACAGGATTTTCCCTGTTACAGACCAGTGCTGCAGAATAGTGAAGCACAGAATACCAGGTTAAAACCCTTTATACAGCTTTTGCCTGTATTTGATGTCTTATAAACAGAGCCAACACTCAATTTTTTTTATTAGGGGCTCACTGAGTGGCAGTGTTTGTATGCAATAACATGTAGGACAATATATCGTCCAGCAAAATTCATTATAGTCACAGACCTACTCTTAGTATTAACAAACTTTTTATCACTTTCACGTTTGGCCCATTAGCTCTAACCTTTACCCTGATGTATGAGTTGTGTTGTGACTGAACGTCATTGTGTTCCTCAGGACCATCCGATCCCTTCTGTGTCAACTTCTCTCTCTCTGTCAAACTCTTAAGTTGTAAGTTGACACCAGGCCCCAAACTCATGGGAGGTGATTCATTCACGTGGAGACAAAGACAGAGAGATGAAGTCAGGAAGTGTCAGAGCAGAGTGGGTGGTGGTAATATTCCAGGGAGGGAAGTGAAAGGTATCGGTTTCTGAAATCAATTTCTTTATTTATTACTAGTGGTTGGACATGAGTCTGTATTTCTGAACTCTGTTTGTCTGCACCAGGACTGTTGCGGATAATGTTTGTGCTGGTGTCTGTACCAGAACTGTTGTAGCTAACGTTAACTCTGGTGTCTGGACCAAGACTGTTGTTGCGAACATTAGCTCTAATGTTTGTATCAATATTTGTTTGTATCAATGTTGTTTCTAAGGTTAGCTCTGATATCTGTACCAGAAGTGGTGTAGCTAATGTTATCTGTGGTCTCGGTACCAGGACTGTTGCAGCTAACGTTTGTTCTGGTGTTGGTACCAGGACTGTTGTAGCTCTTTTTGTCTGTAATAAATAAATGAAAAGTAACACTTTACTGTCCTAGTTGTAACACCTCTGCAACTGCTGCTGAGGCTTTAACACAGAAACCATGGAGAGGAGAAAGTGTCTCCTCCTCCTCCAACACAGACTACACTCTGCTGTATTCAGACAGAAGACTCTGATGCTAAACATCTCTTCTGTAAGAGCCTAATTCCAGACACTGTTGACCAGTGTAGAGACTTGTACCAGTTCAGTTTGGGGTCATACCTGTTAACAGAGTCTCCTGTGAGTTGAATCATAAATCACCAGGAAACAGTGGCAGGAAAACCCAGAGTAGGAAGGATGAAAGAGCCGGAGCATTCACGCCGTAGTCTTTTTCCTCTGAGTGGTTGTGAAACTCTTCGTGTCGAGTTACTGTTTTTTTCAGGCCTCTGGAGATTCATCACAACACACACACACACACACACACACACACACACACACATAGGCAGCAGAAATTGGCGTATGAAAAGCATCTCGTTGAGTCATGAGCACATTTTTTTCCATACCCATATTTTTGAAATTACACACAATAAATACCAACCTCAAATATTCACCAGAGAAGTATTACTGATTTCTTTGTGGTTGTACTTTTTCACTAATGTGGCATCAGCGATACACAAAAGTGAATGTAATTTTTTAATTCAAACAACATTCAGCCCCCAGCCTCCCTTTCACATCTGTTTTCTGCTTTCTTCACTTATTTCCCAGAAGAAGTTTTTTTTTTCTTCTTCTCAGAAGCTGATGTCGCGCAGCAACCTGTTCAAAAGAAATTTCGGTGAATGTAGAACAGAACAGTAGAGAGGTTCCTGCTCTGCTGCTTCCCTTTGTCAGATCAGTAGATTGTATATAAAAACTGGACAGAGCTGCAGACGTGTGCTCCTCTGCTTTTACCAGAGGGCCAGATTTTTTTTTACCTTATGGGCCGGACTCTTTTCTCTATCATTATTATTTGATGTTTATTTTGGAATCCAGTCATGAATTGGATGGGCCAGATTTGGATGTGGGCCACCTGTTGGTGGTCACTGCTGTAGATCATTAGTTTGATTTCACAGATCAGAAGTTTTTTTTTGGCGATTTGAGTTTTGAAATTTACTCAAGTCATCTGGGCGACTCCTACCCCTGTTACTTTCACATGTGGCTCAGAAGTGTGTGGTGGGTGACAGATGATGTCATCATGGGAGTAGGTGACTCACCATCGGTCCATAACGAACACAGCACGTGTTTCTACAAACTTATCTTGTCTATATTTAAAGGAAATTCGTTGTTCTTTTACTGTTGTTGTTCTTGTTACGCAAATAATTCAGAACATCTAAGAAGCTGAGTTAAAGGCCAGGGATTATTTTTCTCTTTGGAGAACTTGAAAATCGTAAGGATGGAAAAACAAATTCAAAAAAATTGAAAGGTTCCCTTCAGCCTTTGTCCAGGGTTCAGGTGGGGACAGTGCCAAGTGGGTCACGTTAGGATTTAAAGAGACGGAGACAAAGGCGGTTTCATGTTCCTGACAGAGAAAAACAGTCACTGAAGTGATTTCATAGTCAGATGGGTTTGTGTGTGTGTGCATGTGTGTAGTACAGAGTGTTACATGCCTGACCGCATGCATCATTTTAGTTTCTTAAGCTTGAATCTTCAGCTGCACTGCTTTCTTTCTTTTGTGATGTGGAAGTGGTTTGTTCTTCCTGTCACTGCCAAGTAACAAGTTTCTGATGAACATGTTCCAGAGTCAGTGAGCAGCCACGGACTTTAGATCATACAGTACGTCATTCAGTCAGTATGTGGTTTAACCATCAAACATTTCCATTGAAATAAAAAATAAAAATAAATAAAATAAACCGCTAGTCTTTGTTTGTGGTTACATTTGAGAATGCTTTTTTTTTCAATTCAAAGGTAAATCAGCTCAACATTCGGCAGAGATACAACAATAGACTGTTTTCGTGGCTGTACTCAACAAGTGACATTAAAAATGGACGACTGTATTTACAATTACGATTACAGCTTGTAGTGACAACATAGACTGACTGAATGTTTTCACTGCATTTAGCCCTTCCATGACACTGGAGCAGTGGGCTACACTCCACTCCACCCAGGGATGGGCACTGTGTGCTTCTTGCTCAACACACCACAGTCCTGGTGCAGCTGGGAGTCAAACCGCCAACTCTCATATCCCAAACTCATACCTTTACCTCTGTAAATCCTCACAATGTTAAAAAAAAATTCATTTGATATTTAATATAGTCTCTTCAATTTCATTGGGACTAGGCTTTTTTCCTTATTTTTTTTCTAAAAATGTGTGTGTGTATCAAAGGTTGTGTATGTGTGTAAAAGCATATGTCAAAGTTAAAGTGTGTGTCAGTGTGTGCGTGCACGTGTGTGTAGGGTCAGTGGCAGAGAGAACAATATAGTCCAGATGGCTCCTCTTCTCCACCTGCCCCAGGCTTCTTTGCCACCCCCCGCCCCATACTCACTTTCACTCACTCACACATACACACTTGTATTTCCCAGACTGTCTCTTTACATTAGCTCGTAGCTCAAACACAGAAGTCATTGTTTCTTTATCAGCTCCACTGGTGTCTGTACATGTTCTGTGTTCTACTGTGTGTTGGTGGAGCATCATAAAGATTGTTACCATGGATGTTAGTCTTGACTGGGTTTCAAGTCGGGACCATTTCGTTTATTTCTCCGGCATTTTCAAAACACATTTTGCGTAAAGGGAGATTTACAGTTTTTACTGAAAATCTTCTAAAAAGGGAAATAAAAAACCACAGAGAAACCTATTATAGTCAGTAGTCAATATATGCACTGGCTGCACATATGCCCCTTCTCTCCCACCTCCTACCCACATGTTACATCTTCAAGAGATGGGTTTTAAGATGTGACTGTGATTGTATTTTTGTTTTGTTTTTTTTACTTCCTGTCAGAGATGTGACACTGGACTCAAACCCTCCTTCTATTTGTTTTTACAGGAACCATCCGTCCTGTGCGAAGGAGTTTCTATGATCCCACCTCGGCTCCGGCTCTGGGCTGCCAGTGGGAGTGGGAAAACGACGCAGGTACATGGACACCCTACGACGTGGAGGTGGCCATCACCATTGAGGCTGCCTACAGCCGCCAGCAGCCCTGTCTGGACCTGACACCCCTGGGCTTCTGCTACCTCATCGACTATCAGAATATGACGCAGGTTGGTTCAGGCCTTCGCACGAACAACATCAAATTATTTTTCTTCACAGATTATGACGCGGTTCTTAAAGCGTGTCCTGTCCGTGCAGGTGAACAGACAGAGCCAGAGGTGTCGCAGAATCCAGAGACGGGCTGACATGGCTTACCCTTTAGTTTCTGGTCCTCTTCCCGTCCCCAGAGGTGGAGGAGTGGTAGCAGGTGGAGGCCTTACGGGAGCTCTGCTTGGTGTCGGAGTGTCGGGGACCAGCATGGGGATGGGGGGCTCTGTTTATACAAACGGCGGGTTATCAGCTCCTGGAGTGGGCCAGCCTTGTTCCTGTCAGCAGTGCTTGTTGGTCCTGAGTGTGAAGAACACAGCAGGAGGAGCAGGAAGTGGAGCGGCGGGGATACAGACTCTAGGGAGACGCTCGCTGACCATGCAGCGGCCCAAGAACTCCACCAGCGTGGCCTCCAGACCTCTGAGTCCATCCAAATCAGCCACCCTGGGGCGGGGCCAGCAGCAGAACTCCTTGTCCAACTATCAGACGCTGCCCCACGGCCTGGCCATCTCCAAAAACACTGCCTCCCCCAGAACCAACGCCCAGCTCTTTGCTCAGTCGCTGGCTTTCCTCACCGCCGGCACCTCCTCCCTGGCTCTCTCCTCGTCTTCCGGCAGCAGACCCCCTCTGCCTTCCCTCCCGCCGCCACAGCCGCCGTCACAGTGCAACCCCAGCGCGAACCCTCCGCCCATCCCTGCCAAGCAGTCTTCATCCTCAGCCAGCGAATCAGTGCCAACTGCCACATTGGTAACCCCTGCCCCCAATGTGACCACGCCCCCCTCCCCCGTGCCATCTCCGTCGCCGGTGGTGTTGAAGCCACAGCGCGTGCCATCCTCGTCTGTGTGCCACGCTCCCTTACCACAGAGGTCAAGCTTGGCTGGACTGAGCAGACCAGCGCTACAGAGGATCGCCATGGCCCAGTCCAGAGCACTCATCGCATCAGGGTGAGTGGACCACACACACACACACACAGATATAATCCATTCTCAAGCCTCTTACCCTAACCTTAACACTAATATTTACATGTCTAATCCTTACCCTAACTGTAATCTGAGCCTAATTCCAGTCCTAATTCAGATTAATCAAAATACTCTCCCATCCGTTGAAAAGAATGTCCCCACAAGGACAACGTGTCCCCACTACTATCAAATCTGTCCAAAATACTGTCCCCACAAGTATAGCCACACCAGGTACACACATAGCCACACACAGATACTTACTTTTCCGCCCTCTGTAACCACAGATTATGATGCCCTAATGCTCTGTGACACATCGTAACTCGGTGTCTCTCTCTCTCTCTCTCTCCCCCCTCTCTCACTCTCTCTCTTTCTCTCTCTCTCTCTCTCTCTCTCTCTCTTTCTCTCTCTCTGTCGGTGTAACAGCTGTAGTTCCAAGAAGTAAAAAAAAAACGTAGTCGCTGTGTTTGGTGTTCCTCACACCTGACATGTTCAGTAACCGTTTATCAAGTCTGTACAGAGCTGCGCTGAGTGACACTCAACACCCTGATATTTCTACATGTTCAGTCCTGCACACTATTATTTACAAACCAGTTTTTTTTTTACCCGAGCATGCAGTATTTACATAAGTACACACATATACTCCAGCATCTGTCCACACAGCCCTGCTGTGTGCTACTGACTGTGTGTGTGTTTGGGTGGGTGGGTGGTAATGAGTGTTGTTGTTCACTGTCTGTGAATAACAAGATTAAGGTGTTACTTTATTGGTTAGGTCTCAGAGCTTCACACCAGTCTGGTGTGAGATGTTTTTTTTTAAGTGATGGCAAATCACAAACAGGGTCTGAATGTTGGTGTTAATTTTTTTTCTTTTTTGGGTAAAAACCTTAAAAATGACAGTAGTATCAGTGAGAAGAAATAAATGATAAAGTCCATGAACTTCCCTAAAGACCGGACCGTTTCTGTGGTGCAGAACCAACAGAACTTGTAGTGAAGAGTTACAGTCTGCTGAGGAGTGTATTTACATCTATTCAACCACCCATTTTCATCTGCTTATCCGTTACCGGGTCGCAGGGGCAGCAGTCTCCATGACCCCTCCTGAACCTTCCTGCGGGTGGTGAGTCCACTGGAAGGTATCAACTGCCCTAACCGGGATTCAAACTTTCCCAGGAGGGTTCCACGTCAATGACAGAGACATTGCCTCTGGGCCAAAGCGCCACTTGTATTCACATCTCCATATCTTATTAGTAAATCTTCATAGACTTCACAGACCAGGGGTCAATAAAAAACAAAGTCTCATTCTATATTGTGCTTATATATTATATATATTATTATATATATTGTGGCACATCCTACAGCCTTTATTCTGCTGAGTCAGCTCTTAAAGGTCATTACAACCTTAATAACAATGGGTGAAACAGTCACAAAAAATATTCAGATTTTGTTTCCTTTTATTACATTGAAATATATCTAACAAAATAAATCTTAAATCCTCTACAGTTAGTTTTCCTATCTTCTACTACACAGTAGTTAAAACTGGATCCAAAGAACCCTCTCTGCATCTGTGCACTGAAACACTTCGCTTCACATACAAACTCACTGCCAGGTCACATGGTTCTGAGTACACTTTTGGAAGCTCCTTTCTCCTCCTCCTCCTCCTCCTCCTCCTCTTCATCCCCTTCAGCCCTGTCCCTTACTTCCCTGCCCCCTACTCCTCTCTGCCCCTCCAGCAGTCTGGGCCCCTCCGTACCTCATTGTTGGTCTCCACAGTAACCTTTGTTGGATTTCCAAGTCTGCGATGCATTAGCAGCACAATGTGGACCCCCCTGCCCCCGTTTCTCTCTCTCTCTCTCGCTCTCTGTCTCTCTCTCTCTCTCTCTCTCTGTCTCTCTCTCTTTTTATTTTCTAGCTTCCTCCACCACTTCAACAATTTTTAGTATGTCTTTCTGGATAGAGTTGCGTTTTTTACCTCATATAAAGTAGTTCATAAAAATGCTTTCTGTCAAAGCTTCTCTAGTTTAGTATGAAATGAAAGCGCACACACACACACGTAGTAACACATTCATAATTTTAATATTTCTGGATGGGGGAGAGTGACGTGTGTGTGTGTGTATAGACAGTGTTACACACAGACAGGGTCAGGAGAAAGGGCTGATGGGAATGGGGAGGGAACGAGACAAAGAAAACGAGTCAGCAAACTGTCAACTGCTGATCACTGAGCCACGCCAGAAAGACACTACAGAGGGAGGAGGAGGAGGAGGAAGAGGAGGAGGAGGTGACACTACACACTGACTGGAGCTGATGCAAAGTGCTGTCTGGCTGTGATGGCATTTAACAAACAAACAAACAAACAAACACACACACACACACACACTTGGCCGTAGTCCCATCTACAAAGGCAAATATGTAGCACTGCAGCAACAGTTTCTGTATGTCTCTCTCACTCTCTCTCCTTCTAGTGATAGCAGTGATAATCAACAGGTGGTCCGTGAACCAAATCCGGCCCTCACTAAATTCCAAAATAAACATCAAATAATAATGTTAAACAAAAATTTTTTTTTTATTAGAGTTCCTCCCCCTAGGCGAAAAAATCCTGGCCCTGTGGAAAATACAGTTGTTAAACCTTGGTGTACAGATTTATAGTCTGTTCATTTTTTAGAATCTGTAAATCCCAGTGCTCATTGTTTCTGCTAAGACAAATGACTCTCTACATATAATTAAACAGCTACTACTTGGGTCACGTGGCTCAGGAGTGGGGCACTTCTGAGTACTGTGAGCTCATGTCATTTGTCTTGTTGGTTCAGTATGACATAAAACAGTCTGGAATATAAAGATGGACGATTGAATCTTCTCATGCAGCTGAAGCAAGCAGAACGGAGTGGAGTAGAGATGAGTGGAGAAAGGGGGGGGGATCATGTTTGTGTCTTACTGTTACAACCTGGGCAGAATCTAATCTTCAGTCTCTTCTCAGTGAATGTCTGAGAAGAACATGTTTGGGCTGTCCAAATGGGAGATGGTAGAACACCGGCGGTTCCCACAGGAACTGTTTTCACTCTGGTGATTGTTTTATAAATGACTGATAAAAGAGGGGCTCCAAAAGCTTTTATTTTGAAAAGTCTCTTCACCTGAGTCAACAGGTGCCTGGGATTGTTAGTGGCTTGGACATTTTTCAAAATAAAACATCTTACGCACTTATTGGTAAAACTTAGTAATAAGTTTGTTTATTTAAATCAGACTTTAACATTTAAATGAAAGTTAAGTGTTAAAGATTGATTTATTTTGGCTTCACTGTTAAAAGCTGACCTCAACAGTGTGGATGAAAAGTTTAAAATTTTAAATCATAAAAAGTGTATCATTAGGATCAGTGTTTTGTCTGTGCTAAATCATGTTTTTGTTTTTTTATTTAATATTGATCACACACAGATATCATTCATATGACTGTGCATTTATCACATTCATTTAAAGGTAAATGTCTTCAGTCCTGTGGTGACACATGAATGCACTACAGTGAAACTGTGTCAGTCGGAATGTGTCGGTGTGTGTGCATCGTTATTTGTCCACCGCAATATGCGTGTGTGAGAATGCGTGGCAGTGTGTTATTGTCTGCTGTCTGAACCGACCCAGCTGATGTCCATCTGGTCCGTGGTGAGAGGAGGAGCACAGGCCTGGGGGTGCTGCAGGCAGAGAAGAAGACAAAGCTAGGGGGAGTGTGTGATCTGACCGAGGAGCAGGAGCAGTGTGGGAGGGTGGGTGTAAGGTCACCTGGGGTCAAGTGAGTAGGGAATCACAGGCAGACATCCCCCTCCTCATCTCTGCCTCAGCCAGGGATGAGATCTTTGTCCGTTGACGTCCCGGAGCTGCT